TTGAATCTGTAGATCACTCTGGATATCACAGACAGCTTAACAATATCAAGTCTTCTAGTCCATGAACATGGGATGTCTTTCCATTTGTGTCTTCCTAAATTTCTTTCATGCTCTCATGACACTATCACATGTGCCATCTGTGGAGGCTTCATAAAGGCCCAGCCTCCTCAGCCAAACCTAGAACTCCTTGAACAGCTTCCTCTGGTTCTGCTCTTTGCCCTGAGGCTGAGAGCCATGGGGAATGGAGACACAGGGCACTGTACCAAAACTTTGCCACCTCCCTTCACTGTGGTCAAGACACCACATTTGAAAAAGGTGCTTGGCAATCCACTTAAAAACTTTTGTTATGGCATATTTTGAACATAAACAAAAGCAGAGAGGATCTGAGGGTGTTCCTCAGTGTTAGGCACAGCTGGAGGAATGAGTCACGGGAGACCAAAATTGATCTATTAGAATTTATTTGGCGTGTTTGAGCTGCAGGAAGTCAGGCTAGAAAGGACCTTAACCTCCCTGAGCAAAAAGGGGTATGGAACCTATAGATGGGGTAAATGAGGCTGTTCCCCCTTTAATGCTTTAGGGGCTTTTTCGTTGCATTGTCTCTCACAACAAAGGGTTTCAGGGTATGACCAAGCCCTCGTGTTCCACATCCTGGCCTCCAGGCCGCTGAGATGCCCAGGCCCACCGATCATAAGCCCCTAGGAGACAAACACAAGCCAGCAGGTACAAGGTACAAAGCAAGACAAGATGGCTTTTAAGAAGATTTCTGCTCCTGGCCTAAATATGGCCTAACACTCCGCGTCCATGCTCTCACCTCCTAGCCATTGGCCGAGTTTCCTTTGTCCCCCTGTTACCCACCCCCATCGTGGTTTTGAAGCCAAGCCCCAGCATCGCCCTTTCCCTTTGCATCCCTGGAAGGTAACCAGGACTCTTTACCTCCACCCAGGGCTCAGAGCCAGAGCAAGACAATGGGATCATAGGGGTCCGAAGCTGTCTCCTGGGGACACTGAGTGACCTCACCCTTGGCTCTTTCCCAGGGCAACAGCAAGGTTACTCAGGTCTCAGGACCCAAAACAAGAGGAGCTCCCCATGTTTTATTTCCCCACAAAGGGCTTGTGAGGCAGATGCTAGGTGAGAACATCTGCAAGCTCTGAATGCTCTCCACTCACTCACTTGCTCATGCTTTTGTTCTACAAAGCTCTGAGTGGACCTGGACATGTTCTCCCCCCATGTCCAAGTGGGTTCAGCCTCTCCCAGCACAGCTGAGCAATGCAGAGCAGGGTGCTTTGGAAACAGGGAGGCCCTGTAGTCAGGGATGTCCGGCAGGGTTGTGTTAGAAGGGGAAGAGGCCATTGGGAGGCAGTGTGGCTAGTGACCAGCACTCAGCTAGTGGCCAGGAGCTGCCAGTCCCTCTGTCTGGGCCTCAGTCCTTCACACTCACAGGAGAATCCCAGGACTCTCCTCTGGGGTTGCTGGGATCAGGGAAGGTGGACATGAAGCCTGTTCCCGCCTATGTAGGATATCTGATATTTCTGATTGTGTGTGTGTGTGCCCCAGGAT